CTTTAGAATATTTATTGTAAAGCACTTTTATTCTTAATATTGAGAGGAGTTTTTAAGGAATTTTGAAATTCTTTTTGTTAATAATTAGACATTTTCGCTTTTGTTTATTTATTGTAAACATGGCACTTTTATTCTTAATATCGAGAGGATATTTTTTTGAAAGGAATTTATATTCTATATTCTATTCATGAAATTTTACACTACTTTTTAGTTTAAGTAAATAAATGTCCAAAACGCTGTATTGAATGTCTGTTGTGGTTTATTGTCTGCACCAAAACGCTAATGAAAGTTTGAAAACGTTAATGAACTTACGCAAACATATTCATGATTGTCAAATTCAATGCTAAATTTCTTAATGAACGATCCATCGCACTATTGAGACTCCGTTCGCCTTATTGTATGCCTGTTCGCTCTAATGACAATACTTCTTCGCTTCAATGAATATTCCTTTGCGGTTAATGAACAGCAAAAGGTGTATTTATTGTAAAGCAATTCTAAGCGCTTCACGGTATCATTGATATATTRTAACTGAATGAATTTTTAAAATTAATTTCTTAGCAGTTATAGCAAAAGTCCAGTGTCTATGACACACAATGTTCAATAAGAGGGCTCCGCTTAAATCCTTTTCGAAAAGAAAAAGCCTTGGCAGTGAGGTTTAATAAAAAATAAACTAAAATCTTAACAATTTCTTCGTCGACTGCATAAGCACAAGAATTACTACATTTTTCCATATTCTGCGAATTCGGTAAATGCAAGCTGCGGGCTGAAATTTGTTTTTCGCAGCCTTCAATCAAAAATAATCTGTCGGTATCTTTATGTTCTTGACTGGGGCAGGGAAAAACAAGCCATTGGAATGTCTGAGTTTGCAGAACATGGAAAACCACAGTTACTGAGAGACAGGGATGTCTATGACTTACAGTGCGATGACTTGGTTCTTTGATGCGATCAAATCTTGTAGCTCACAGATTCTCCTAATACGACACCGTACGACGGTCATCGATCCTCGACAGAATCCATTCTCGCTCGCAGAGCACGTAGAATCGATGGAGTTGTCCGCCAAGACTTTTGGTCCAACGAGAAAGAAGATAATATTGATGAAACGAAGTTGTTGAAGAAGAAACACCTTGGAAAGATTCAGCTGTACGCCACAGCCAGTGTCTTAAATACAGACATGACATGCCTACGCCTTTAGTTTCAATACACATTTATACACACCTATGATGAATTACAACCTTGTCTTGCAGTTAACGAGCGCTATATGTCAGCTTCATAATACAACACACTTAGGATTGAGATCAAACCGATTGTTTTGTTCTTCAACTTCAAAAACGAAGATTCTTTTGCTCCACCCAGAAATTATGTGGGTTATTGGACCGACTTGCACGCCAGAATACGTAACCCAACCCCTTAATACACTAAGCAGCTGTTTCAAAAGAACACCTCGATATTAGCAAGAAGGTGAAGTTTCAGCTTACAATGTCGACAATAGGAGAAGTATAAAACTCAGAGCTAATAGAAATTTCGTCTCCTCTTACTAATATCGAGGTTCTCTCAGTGACACGACTGTTCGGCATCTTAAGGGGATAGGGTCACGTGATCTTCGTTCGGCATCTTAACAGGGTAGGGTCACGTGACCTGTCATTGCAAATGGCCTGTTAATTTCGTTCAATTGCACAAAGTCCATAAACAGACCTGTATTGCAAATGATGATTTAGTAGTTATGATATTTGGAGTTAACTTTATGTTCTTACGGGGGACTGCAGTAGCAGTAGCAGTAGTTGTAGCAGTAGTTGTAGCAGTAGCAGTAGCAGTAGCAGTAGCATCACCATCATTATCATAATTAGCAGCAGCAGTAGTATAAAGTCTACCAGAAGATAGTTTTATCGAGTTGAGAGATACCTGATCGCCATCTAATTACGTGATTTTCTTTCTCTTTGCAGTTTTCAAAGGAGAAATTGCCCTGGTAGACGAGGACGGTAAAGGCAGTCGATCTTGGCTAAACTATTTCATCATCATCCAAAAAATCTTTAGGAAACTTGATAATTCAAAACTAAAGGTTGGTGATCACATTGAATACAAAAAACGTGCTGGATGTAGATGCCCTGAATTGAGAGAAACAGGAGAATACCTTTTTATGGGACAAGAAGGTAATGGTAAACAGTATGTACTTGACAAAAAGACATTCGTTGTTCCTTGGGAAGGCAAAACACATGACGAACGGAACATGATCGTTGCATTTAAGGCAAGGATGAACAGAGGTTATACTTGCCCACTACGATAAATACTGTATAAATATGGAACTAGACATTGCATTCTTCGTTTGCAATAGACGTCATAGCCGCCATGTTGGAAGAATTTGACAAAAGGTTTTTCAATGAATTCTTTTGTTATATCTTCCAACATGGCGGACATCCCTTTTGTTATTGTGCTCTCTTGGGATTGATTGCAAACCAAGAATAAGGAGGTAATTAACGCATGCATATATAGGAATTATTGATTAACAATTAAGGTGACTGTCTACTTTTGTAAAAAACTTCGATTTTCCGAATTAAAATTTAATGCTGTTTCCAAATCTGGAAAGAAAAATAGGGTGTCCCGAGCTTGTTTTCGAGATAATCAGCATTTAATGGAAGCCTACGTGTGAGCTTTTGGAGCAAAATTTGCGCCACCGGAAGTGATCAGAAAAAAAAAGTTTCATAAGATACTAGTTATTCGCAGACTCTATGATCGCTCAAATGAAGGCTAGTCAACCATTCTACAATAATAGACAAAGAGATACATTGATTTGTCATATTTTGTAGTTTGGGTGCTCTTAAAAAATCTCATAAAGTCGACAAAAATCCCTACAAAAATCAATTTTTTCGTTCGTTAGAAAAATTAACTTTTTCTAAAATGTTGATATAACCTTGATTTTTAGGAGCTTTTTCGAATGAGCTATTAAGAAATAGAGAGTCCCATGAAAAATTTGAGGACTTTACCCTGTTGAAGCTCAAAACGCATATAGTTTTTCAATAAAATCTATTAGATTTTTCATCGGTTTTTGAGCACGCGCACATCGTGGACTTAAATCGAACGTTCAAAAGTAGGGAGTCACCTTAAAAATCAGTAATTTAGCTCACAGTGGATTTGATGGAACATTTTTGTTTAGTCATAAGTCAAAACTTGTTAACATTCTGGAAGAAATTCATGGCCTTTCAATTATTAGTATTATGAGAACTTCATGTGCTCTTCGAAACACGTTCAGTTCTACTTACTACTAAAGACATTTTGAAAGATTCTCGCCCTCAATCACCCCCAACAATGAGTCTCAGATCAAGGTTGTACTTGATGTTTGCATTGTAACAAGCCCACTCTTGACCTAACACCATTGTTGCTCAGTCACGACATGAATTGTTGATGTTCTTATGTTAGCTTATAGTAGTCGAAATAACATTGGTATTCAATTGGTTGTCATCTTTGTACTCATTATGCATGGTAGAAAATTCTTCTCTCTTGGTGCTTCTGATGCTCGGTGAAGAAAGCGATGAAAAACTCGCTCCAGCCTCCTGTGCGCACGCGTATTAGGTCGTACTGCTCGGGATTACTCTGGGCGTTGGCGTAGGTTTCAGGATTTGCACATGTGACTAAAACAGAAAGAGAAAAAAAGAGGACTTATTGCAACATATAAATTCTTAATGAAATGAATTTTTGAGGCCTGGATATTGTGCTCATGAAGGAATTTTTGAAAAATGAAGTTAAGGTTTTCTCCCCGTTTTCGCTGCAAAAAATTCCTGAAATATAGAAATGGCTTTGATTATTACATTGCCTCGTGATATATCCCTTAAAACCCAACACACTGAGTATTTAATTTTAGATCTGTAAGCTAGTCGTTCCCGTACTTTGGGCAGCCCAGAGGTTGTATCAGGTTTCCATCTGTGAATTAGCCGTGCCCTCAGTCCAGACGTTGTATCAGAGTTCCATCTGTGAATTAACCGTGCCCTCAGTCCAGAGGTTGTATCAGAGTTCCATATGTGAATTAACCGTGCCCTCAGTCAAGAGGTTGTATCAGGGTTCCATCTGTGAATTAGCCGTGCCCTCAGTCAAGAGGTTGTATCAGAGTTCCATCTGTGAATTAACTGTGCCCTCAGTCAAGAGGTTGTATCAGGGTTCCATCTGTGAATTAGCCGTGCCCTCAGTCCAGAGGTAGTATCAGAGTTCCATCTGTGAATTAACCGTGCCCTCAGTCAAGAGGTTGTATCAGGGTTCCATCTGTGAATTAGCCGTGCCTTCAGCCAATAGGTTGTATCAGGGTTCCATCTGTGAATTAACCGTTCCCTCAGTCCAGAGGTTGTATTAGAGTTCCATCTGTGAATTAGCCGTGCCCTCAGTCAAGAGGTTGTATCAGGGTTCCATCTGTGAATTAGCCGTGCCCTCAGCCAATAGGTTGTATCAGGGTCTCATCTGTGAGAGTATTCGTGCCCACAGCCCAGAGGCTGTTCTTAAATTAGAATATCGATAAATTGTAAAGGTTTTCTTGCTCTTTCTTGGTGTTGCAGGGCACCTGAGCCAAGAAGTTAATAAACCAATACCCGAAAACAACGAGTTAAGAGCTAAACAATAACCTGCTAAAGAAAACACCAACCCAGAAAACAATAATGCTTGCTACACCAAGAAAGACACGGTTTTCTTTCCTCTTTTCTCCATACAACGAAACTTACTTGTCAGAATGTTTCCTCCGATGCCTTTGTCATCTGCAAAATTCTTCAAGAAAGTTATCAAGTCACTTTCTTTGAACTTTTCATCAATTTTCAAGTCAATAGGAGCACCATTTGCAAAGCCAACATTGATGGATGGAATATCCCAGCTCTTCAAAGACCTAAAAGAAATGAAAAGAAATCCTCTTAGTTGGTTCATATACAGGAGTCTATTTTCGGGCATTTTCGAAGTTCTTTCACTTCTATTTATACATCTATAGTAATTCAAAAAACGTTGTCATCTCTACTAAGGCGATAAGCAATAGGAGATAGGCCGGCAAATAACTGGAATGACTTGTGTTTTTGCTAGTCTTATTTTCGTCAAGAACGCAGAACTTAGTGTTGATACTGACCTTATTGTACGAAACCATTTCCACGTCGGAATGACTTATCACCTTTGGTGATGACAACGTGTTTTGAATTAGCAGTTTAGCGAAAAGAATAGTTTCCTTTAGCCTTTTTAATTTTTTGAGAGTTGGTCAAGGAACTAAGTTTGGATGAGTACGAGAAATCGAGAGAAAGTTTCTTATTTTTTCCGACTTACTTGGAAATTTCGAAACTTTTAGGAACAGGAGGTTTGTCTAGAGGAGTTGGTGCCGCTGAGCAGTCCGATGCAATAAAAGAGCCCGCACGCCTTCCATCAGCGGATGCACCACAGCTTCCTCCCCAGCCGACATATCCTTCAAAGGTCCCAGATCCGGTTGGCAAAAACACGTCCCATGGCACTCCAGGCACCGAGTACTTTTTCTTTAACCCACTGATGAGGTCCTTCAGGGGTTGACCATCAGGAGCATCACGGGCCACTTTCTGAATGACGGTTGAAACTTGCTCAGCCAACCAGCTATGAAAACCAAACCAAGTAGTTTTAAAAATAAGAAATTGGGTACCCTGCTAGTAGAACGCCCTCTCGGGCACGGTGGAGTTCAAAGGTTTGATATTGGGTCAAACTAGGAAACTCCAACATTTATCACAGGTAGTCAACTTAGTTTGAATGTTAATATTTTCACACTTTAAAAATATGGGTCTCTTTAAAAGGGAGTGCTACAAAAAAGAAAACCAAATATCAGACAACACATCCACATCGGGAATTATTTAAAAGTTTATGAATCTTACCTGGCAATGTTTTGGATGTCCTTGTTTTCTGCACCTTCGCTGGTTCCAAACTTAGGGAGGTTTAAAGCCCTCTCGCGTACTTCTTTGTACGTATCGGACAGCCGCTGACCACGTGTGGCACCGGCCAATTCATCATGGAACGGTTCTTGCATATTGTATCCCCAGTCACACTTGAGACAGCGAACCATTTCAGACAAGGGAATTACAGCCGAGTCTTGGTCAAAGCAAAGCTTCTTAATGGCATACAGTGCATCGATAGTATTGGAAAACGTAATGAACTGGACACCAATCAGTGTATAGTTTGCACCGCCATTGTAGATATCCCGTTTGGTTTCCAAGCAGCCGCGGATGAGGGAAGAGAGCAAAGGACTGGGACAAAACTCGACGACGTTTCCATAGTTGAGCAGCAGAAGGAAGATGTTGTACTCTGTGCGTACCTTGAGGTGCAGAGCGAAGATCTTCAAAAGCTTTAGATAAAGAAAAAATATCTGTTAGACAAGGAAAAGTATAAGTTCCAAACAATGAAAAACACTTCTCATTCCCTTGAGTATTTTCTTTTTATTGGCCGTAAACGCTTGAGAAGCAATATCGATATTATGAGACTAACAAGAATTTATTTCATAGCTTTCCGCAACAATGAAATACAAATATAAAATAACACATTAAAAAGCGCTGGATCGATCTCCAAACCTGCTCAAAGCTGTAGATGTCCTCTGGGTGTTCTGTCGGTAGTGACTGAGGTGCTCCCTCCAGGAACCGAGAACCAGCAACAAGATAAGTAGACCCGTGGTTGATGGTCATCTCCAGAACTTGCAGTAAAGGCACATAAGCTAAAGAGAAATCCGTCTCGCCTGGAAAGATGGGCTCATAGCAACCATCACAGCAGTAGTTACGTGCGCTCCTCAGGCTGACAGGAACGTCTGATGTTCCCGCTTTAAGAAGACCTTCAACCAAGCGATCATCATGTAGAAGTAAAGGATGAGCTCCTCCACTGAGGATAGCTTTGGCCGCTTCTTGGAGCACCTAAATCAAGTACAAGAGTTAAAAAAGACATTAAGATGCGCAGTCCAATGCTACCAATATGCGACCTAAACAAATAAGTTGGTAATATAGTATGCTATATATTCAGAAACTTTGTCGAGAATAAATGACTAAAGAGCATGGTTATAAAACAAGAAGTGGAAGCGACTATTATTATTTAAGCAATTACCTCTTGAGACATATCCTTGTGTACTCGCAGAGACACGCAAGGAGCATTGAGTGGTAGTCTTCGTGAGGCTTTAAGGCACATGATTGTAATGGCGTTACATCCATCCTGGGGGACACTTTCATCGTTGGCCTTGTAACCTCCAACAGTGATCTAATACAAATACAAATGGAATTTATTAGTAGTTTTTAACCAAACTTTAATTAACTACACCATGCATTCTTCCAAGCCTAACTTATTTTTTTGTCAGAATTTAGTGTTTTGAACATTCTTGGGTATGCTTCATGTTTAAGGCAATTTCAGTTTTGAAATCGAAACCCATTACTTGCGATCAAAGACTATTTGTTAATCACAATTATTATATAATTACCAATGAAATATCTATTTTTCTCTATTTCGAAAAATTGATATCTTCACACGTGAAAATAACATGTTATTTTCACGTGTGAAAATAACACCATTGCTATGGCTATTCATAAATACACGGAAAGAATTGCCTGAAAAAGCCAAAACATACTTTCATTGATAATTATATAATAAACAGAATATTACATGGGCGCTTGGAGATACGAAATTTATCTTCTCGTGTTAAAAATCTCTCACTCGTTCGCTGCGCTCACTCGTGAGAGATCTTTTCAACACTCGAAGATAAATTTCGTATCTCCGCGCGCCCATATAATATCCTCTATGTCTCCGTACGTTATGATATAATAACTTACAGATTTTTTTTCAATTGGTCGAGATGAAGCATTTATATTGAAATAATTGTTAAAACTGTTAAAACATATACACCTACTTGCAAGAACGTTACGAAAATAGAACATTAGTGATTTAGTGGAATAGGAATTATATTAAAAAAAACAAAAGAAGATCACTGAAGCTGAACTTTTTCTTTTGCTTTTTAATGTATTCCTTTCTCACTAAATTACTAATGTTCTAATATCGTATGACAACGACCTTTCAAGTACRAGGTGTATTCAAATGTTATAACTTCTGGGGATTCGTAATCAAGGAAATACTGCAAATTTTCACTAGTCCAACCAATATAGGAATTATGAAGGGCTCTAGTTGTTTTCCTGAATATAATTAATTCTTACCTGCTGCACCCATTGATTAATAGTGTCTCCGTTAGGAAACATTCCAGTACTGCTGTATGGCACGGCATTCATTCCCCATTCCAGCAACTCATTCAACAACCTGGTGTTCAAATGTACATGTTCACAGAGCTTGACGAACAGGCAGTCAATGATTTCCTGGGCTTGTTCAGAAGGAGTTCCGTCGATGAAAGGCTCCAGGAGTTGATCAAGACGACCAATGGAGGTTTGCTCACCCGAAAGATGCAGGCAACAATGGAAAGCAAATAGCAGCTGAACAGCTTCAATCAATGTCTCTGGACGATCTGTTGAGATCTTTTTCATTCGAGCTTCAATCTGCAATTTCAAACACATGAACTCACTTCAGTATAAATTAGAAATGTAGATGATATTAAAACGAGAGAGCTCACCAAGTATAAGTAATCGACGTTTAGGAARGAAACAACAAACATGCATAACTCCATGCAGACAGCGCAGTGAGGGGCAGCGCATCAACGTACGGCGTATTTATTCTAAACTGTGAAAACCTTCAAAACTAACTCACAGATAAAATTGGAATTTAGCTCGTTTAATTTTGCGGCTGGAGGAGTACTGGAGAACGCGGAGAGAATCAAGGGAGAGACCTAAAAAACTCTACTCACATCTGATTCTGAGTTTAAAAATTATGCTAAGTGCATGGTGTGAGATGCTCGTATCATTTTTACCTGTTTCATGTTTTCCCTTTGGGCATCGGAGAGCTCAATATCCTTTCTATTAGCAAGGTACCCTGCATGGAATCCATAATTTCGGATGTACTTTTGGACTCCCTCCAGGGCTAGGATACAAGCCTGGAAAAACTCTTTCTCTTCCTTTGTAGTTCCCATGTTTGCTTTCATTTCTCTTTTCATTTGCTGAAGTCCTTTCTGCAGTAGGGTTTCGTAGTCTGGGATTACATGACCAATACCGGCTGCCTCACTGAGACCCTTTATAAAGGCTGGCATTCTCTCTTCCTCGCGTAGGTAAGGCATCGCGGTTTTTCCAAGCCCAAGAGAAAAGCAAGGAGGCATTCTACCAACGATAAGCTCATCGGGATGAATGCCGAAGACATCTGCTTTGTTGCCAAAGAATTTTCGGCTCTCTAGCTTGTGTTTCTTATTTGTTGTGCACAATCTTCCCAGGCAAATCTTCATGGCCCAACCTTTTCGGATCATCACAGACGCGTTCTTGACCAGCTCTAGCTTCTTAGGGGATTTCAAGGTCTCGAACAGATGAGGGAATTTTGGCATCTCCCTACGTTTAAACCATTGGTCATTCCACTGCTGAAATGCGTAGTCTAGCAAACGTAAGACCCTGTCACTGGGAGGATCCCCAGGGGTGTATCCACCCGAGGTCATACGATAAAGGTACTCCTTCTGGTTGTAGAACAAGTACTCGTTTGTAGGACTTCTTTTGTTCCAAAAGTCCAAAATGTCGAACCTAAAAAAATCAATCGCGAAGAAGTGAGTGCTCTATGACATTTAAATGATCAACCACATACGAAGCAAGGTAAAGCATATAGCAAGAAGCAAGGAACCTATTGCAAGCAATCACATCTAAAGAATCAACTACATACGAAGCAAGGTCAGATACACCAACAAACCAAGCAGGCAAGGAACCCACTGCAAGCTATCACATCTAAACAATCAACCACGATACGAAGCAAGGTCAGATACACCAACAAACCAAGCAGGCAAGGAACCTATTGCAAGCAATCACATCTAAACAATCAACTACATACGAAGCAAGGTCAGATACACCAACAAGCCAAGCAGGCGAGGAACCCATTGCAACCAACTCATCGATGGATGCTGACCGATTGACTTTTGAAAAGGTAGCGCATATGGCAAATAATGAACGCTTAAATAAGTAAATTTAATTGATGACAAAAGTTTATATGATAACCATATTTTACCTTCGTTCCTGTAAAGTCGGTAGTTTCAACTCCTCGGCACTTGGAACATACCAGTAGGCTCCCTGAAGTGGCTGAACGGAACTTAGCAACGCATCTATAGTTACATCTCCTAGTTTGGAGTGCTTATCATTCCCAGCGATGTTCTTCAGGATGGTCTTGAATGTTTCTACTGAATTGCACATGTGTAGATACATCAGACCTTCTTCTCGTCCTGGATGGTTCTCGATTTGCCCGTACGGCATGGAGACTCGGAAGATTCGTGGGTGACGCTTGAGGACGTTGACTGGTGGAACATCGTGTACAACGTGGGCACACATGAGGTGGGAACGCTTATCTGTGTGAGGAATAAACGTGTCTGTTCCAGACTTTCTTCCTATCATGTCTTCTTTTTGAATCTGTGGAATATGTCACAAAATCCACATGACATTTTTTCGTTGGGAGGTTGACCGCTTGATAATTAAAGTATGAATTAGTGCAAAAACCTTCTTGTGACAACTGGCTGGTAAATATGTGTTGTTTGCGTAATAGACGATGTATGTTCTTTAAAACCTGGAATGTTGTTCTAAAATGATAAGATCGTTTAGTACCTTGTCCAGGTTTCCAAGGACCACCCAGTTGAACTCAAACTTCTGCGTCAATAGGTATGTTGAGCCAGGATAACCAACCGACGACCCTTCGTTCTTTACGATGTAAGTCTTGAAGCTTTCTGCATCGCACGGGTTTGCCACCCCGTCTGTGAACGAACTTTGCAGGATTCGCTAAGACAAAAAATAGGAGTAAAATTACCGATTAAATGAACCCAATCTGTTTAGAACCTGCTGTAATTTTTTTTAAAAAGTCAATTATTAATTAATTACTGAATTAATTAAGACTGCAGTACGCGAGAGATCTTTGGTTTGTCGAGCTCGTTTTTTTGAACTTTGTCTTACACGTTTTTACAAGTTGGTTGAGTGTCAGATCTAATGACACAAACTAAAGAGAGACAGGTTGATAAGAGGGACTTTCCTTAGTCGATGTTGCTGTCAGTCGGGATTTTTTTTAGTGATTAAATAAACTATTACTAAACTATTACTATTATTATTATTATTATTATTACTATTATTATTATTATTATTTCTAACTCGGTCACTGTCCTTATGATCGAAAGAGCGCGTTACATTGAAGTATGAGCAACAAATCATTTGCTTTAATTTGAAAGTAGCGATTTAAGTACCAATAGATAAATAGATCAGACTTATTTTACGTTCAATTAATGACGAGGCCTAGTTTTGAATTTTTTTTTACCAAGATTCCTGGCTATATATATATCTACCTTACTAGGAGGTTGTGATCTCGTAACGTCAAAATCACTGAAGTAATCTTTCATTTTGTCCTGAATGTAATCAAGAACCTTCTCCAATTCATCTTTAACGTCAGATTTCAGCAAGAAGTACACATCACCACCGGTGTCAATAAATTTCTGGGAATCAGGAACCAGTTTCTTTCCTTTTTCACGCTGCTCAAGATTGCTCAGCCTAGGGTCGTCTTTGTACCACTTACTCCATTGATTAGGGTCAAAGGCAACGATGGCTCTAGTACGAGAGGCTGAAATAGGGAGTCAGAAGGTGAAGGAAGTCAAGTAATGTCATTAAAGTTCATAATGTACAACCAAGGGTGGTAAAAGGAGTGGCCAGCTTTTGCTCAAATTTCTAAGTATATTGTTAATAACAGTCGCCCCCTTTTCCTCGAAGTCCTGGTAGAACCTTTGTTATAGTCACCCCCCTTCTAAAATTCCTGGATCTGCCACAGACAACATATTTAGGAAATGACTGAATGAAGGCTGATTGTTCAGACCTTTCTAATCTAGGAACGGAGTCAAGTGTCGGTAATGATCTAGGTGTCCATAATAAAAGATTATTTATGATCACTTAAAGACCTCCAATCGGACACTCGAAGGGACGGGGTCAACTGAGTGTCCGTACCAGGTGTCCCGTACCGTATTAGTGAGGTCCATTAAAAACGGACCTCTTGTAATGCGTACAACTCTCTAATCGGACACCCAAAGCCGGGGACGGGGTCAACTGAACAGTCCTCTTGTAATGCGTACAACTCTCTAATCGGATACCGAAAGGGACGCGGTTAACTTACTGTCCGTACCAGGTGTCCTTTAAAAACGAACCTCTTGTAACATGGGCACATTTCTAATACGACCAAATAACCACGTTCCTTTGTTGTCAGTATTAGAAAGGTTTGACTAATTTTTCTTACCGTTTCCTCCTTCTTCTTCAACTTGTGATGCATAGTTCACCACGTCTCGGACAGCACTCACTATGCCATCGCGCACAGCTGGGTCGTCCACAGTCAGATTCTTCTTGTAGAAGGCATTGACAAAAATGCCACTCTTTGGTTTCCCAAAGAAAAGACCACGTTGTGCCTTGCGCAGAACTTGATCTTCCATTACGTCAGTCTGGAGAAAAAATTATTAGGATATTATTAAGATTATTAATGGCGTTACTTATATAGAGTAATTTTATTTGACCCGTGAAAAAATAGCACCCACAGTAGTTAGTAGTAAACTCTAACTTGAAACCCATTATTTTCTTCTTTTTTTTTTTATCAACTAGTACTAACTAAATAGTCATTTATTTATTTATTTTTAATTTTTTAATTTTTTTCTACTCTGAGTAGAGTGGTCAGTTAAAGATTTGAAGACTCCTCCACTCTTGAGTGGAAGTCGATGACAAGTGCATTATCCTCTGGTAAACGAGCTTCCATTTTGATTGTGTCAAGAGTAATCCCAGCAAATTGTATAACATTTGTTGGGTACTCTGTTTTCTCGTCTGCAATTGGAACCCCGAGAAAATTACACAATCGAAAAAAACTGATTAAGGTGGCTGCCTACTTTTGAACGTTCGAATTGAGCCCACGATGAGCGCGCGCTCAAAAACCGCTGAAAAATCTACAAGATTTCATTGAAGAACCATACGCGTTTTGAGCTTCAACAGGGCAAAACCCTCAAATTTTGCACGGGACTCTATTTTTTAATAGCTCATTTGAAAAAACTCCTAAAAACCTAGGTTATATCAACATTTTAGAAAAAGTTTAAATCAGTAACACATGAAAAGATAGATTTTTGTAGGGATTTTTGTTCGACTTTATGAGATTTTTTAAGAGCACCGAAACTACAAAATATGACAAATCAATGTATYTYTYTGTMTTTTTGTCGAAAATATCCATGTATTATTGTAGAATGATTGACTAGCCTTCATTCGTGCTATCATAGAGTTTGCAAATAACTATTATCTTATGAATCTTAATTTTTTTCTAATCACTTACGGTGGCGCAATTTTTACTCCAAAAGCTCGTGCGTAGGCTTCCATTAAATGCTGATTATCTCGAAAACGAGCTCGGGACACCCTATTTTTCTTTCCAGATTTGGAATCAGCATTAAATTTCAATTCGGAAAATCGAAGTTTTAAAAAAAGTTTAAATCAATTTCCAAAAGTAGGCAGTCACCTTAAGATCGTCGCGACAATTGTCTCGATTAGCCGCGATAAATAGAAAATCATCTAAAATATGCAAGATTCCAGATGCCCCAAGAAGATCAAACAATAACCACTGAATTGCCGTACTGAAAGATTCAAAAATAGCACAAGATGACGGACAACCTATGTGCAAACAACGATCGAAGTAGTACTCGTTACCAATTTTCATTCCTAGCAATGATTGATCATGAATGGAAGGGGGAGGGGGGCTACCACCTTGGGTAGGGGTGTGCCGCCAGGACCTCGAAACCCTGACCCTATCCCAGACCTAAAATTTTGATTTTTCACACCCTACCCCAGACTAAAACTAAGAATTGTACACCCTATCCCAGACTAAACCCGGATAGTCAATAGATTGCAATCAATATTTACTAACGTTTTTGTTTTTGTGCCGTCAGAAAGCGTAGCCTATTCGCCAGACAAAAACGACCAAATCGTTAACCCTTTCCTAGGAAAAATGTCAAAAAATGATACCCTAAACGGGAATAATACAAAAGGCATCTGTTTTAGCCATAAAGCTGTTCGACCCTGTGTGCTTAATAATATCAATTGCGTCCTTGATGGATGCATATTGAACCAAAGATCTGGGATAAAGCCATTGACAGAAAATCTGTGAGGATAGAATAGGTGATGAATGACACGAAATTCTGATGGAACTAGAACGCTTTTAAGGTTGATACAATCAGTAGAGCAAAGTTCACCCGTGGGTCATCYGTAGCGGTAGCATTGCGAGGACGTTTTTACATTGACGGCATAACTTAATAAACATCTACTGTGCAGAAGACAGGGTTCAGTAGAACCTGATGAAATGACAGTTCCATTATCACGCCTAACGAGGTATATCGCTTATCGGTATTTGCTTCTACTTCAACTTACTTTTACATTTAGTCTTTCATATAAAAATTTAACATGACCACTGTCTAAAATCGAATCAAATCTGGTGGTACCTGCACCAGTGACGGAATAAAAAATTATGTTTCTGTGATACGCAATTCGGATTTAAATGGTAATATACACTAGAGAGATGTGGAGACGTTTTCGGAACCCCGTCTTTGATGGAACTGTCATTCCATCAGGTCGACGGGTTCAACGGGTTCAGCTGTCAGTCAGCCTTGAAATCAATGCTGCCTTGTGTGTAAATTGTGTCACGAACAATACTAAATTAAATCTCAAAAGTAACAAAAGTGACTAAAAATTCAAGAAAAATTATAAAAGCTTAATAAAAAGATCGGTCCGGATTTTACTGATTTTGGGTCCGGGACCGGGTCCGGGTCCGGGTCCGGACTTTACCACATGCCCATAATCAAGTAGAAAAGACAATAAGAAAATGGTTTCTTACTTAGGGTATTAGTTGAAGTAAGCTTGAAGACGAGAGTCATAACTTGCAAGTTACTATCTTAGCGGCAGTTACTCTTGGATAAGCGAATTATTCGAATCTTGACTAAATTCCAGTTTTATTATATATTTGTGTAAAAAGATCACTGAGCTATTATAAAGCAGAGACGAACATTTAAAAAAGGTCAGAACTTAAAAAGGCATCGTGTTTTTTCATTATCTGCTAAATATAATAATAATAATATGAATGAATGAACACWTTTATTTAAACAGGGTAATCCCTTCAGTTACATGGAATGTATAACTGCTATCAATAGGAGCCCTAATAAATATAAGATAATAAATAATTTAGGTTAAAAGCTAAAATATGAAGCTATAGTAATAAAATCCAAAGTATGTTAATAAGATCTAAAATATGATACTAAAATATAATACTAAGGCCGAGGTTAGACGTCGACCCCACATGCCCCGAATCCAACGCAAACGAGCAAACGCTAACAATTTCATTTGCAATGGGCTCGAGACATGCGAAACTCGACGCCCAAACCCGACCCAATCACACGTAGCCTAGTATATGTTTAAATAATAATAATATCAATAATAATAATAATAATAATAATAATGAAAACTTTATTTTGATGCTTTTTGTTTTACCATCGCAAATCTCGCTGGTAACTAGGTAATTTGCAATCGGCTACTTGAATTAAAGATAAATTCAGTTTTACAATAATAATAATAATAATAATAATTTGATAACTATGTTTTATTGAGCGCTAAATTGGTGTTGGAATAAAGAGTCTTTATGCGTTTAAAGAATAAGTAATGAAATAACTGTAAAGTTAACTAAAACTTGATGTACGAGTCATAATTCGTAGGCCTTGCGTAAAAGAAGAGTATTTAGTCAAGATTTAAATACTTCATAATTAGTGGCTCGTTTGAGATAAGATAGTAGTTTGTTCCACAGCTTTGGAGCAACGGCACTGAATGCTTCATATTATATTACATATGCATGGTTACACCCCACTAACAGTAATAAACCTTATTATCAAAACCTAAAAACTGTAAATCCAAAAGATATCCATCTGTCTATTATCTAAGATATTATGATAAATATAAATAAATAGCCCAGTAGGGTTTAGATTGGAATATCATCGGCAATTAAGCCAATATAGCTAAGAGACAAAGTGCTTTCAGCTCGACAGGACTTCAGTACCACGTACAAGCAGCTTGCCTAAACTCACATGAAAGCTTCACAGGCCTGTTTCCTTGCTTTCTCTGCTAAATCGAAGTCCAACGAAGTACTCCGAAACTCTAAACTAGCTATGAAGGAAAAAATCCCTTTGTTTTGCTTATGTGATAAATTTATCAACTCAAGAGGGAACGGCTGTTCAGCCTTCCGTATCAGATGCTACTTTCGTTTATATCGATAAAATAGTAATATATTTTCTTGAGATTTTTAAGTGAGACGCAAATGGCTGAAATGCTAAATTGCTKAGAGAGAATTCTTAAACTTGAAGTTAAAAATTAAAGAAAGATAAAACTTACTCGATGATCCTAGCAGAACCAGTCAAGAGCAAAACACCAAGGTACTACAGTTAGGGTAAGCAGTCTCACCAGACCGTAGTGCAACTGCTTTATTATTCCAGTATAGGGCGGTTCCTTTTATATTGTGTACGAATTGTGTGATGTGTCGTGTTCTGATTGGTGTAGACACCAAATCATATCACGTGACCGTTCCCTGTTACAAAGCTGTATTCTGATTGGTGTTCAGAGTCCCCATATACTTATAAAGGGTATAACCAAGGGCGCTAGGGCAAAAATTGGTGTTTTTTTAGCCGTTAGACTCCGTTATAATGGTGTTTTTTTAGCCGTTAGAAACTGTTTAAACTGTTACTCATCTGTTCTGTTATGTGCTTGCTTGATTTTTTTAGTTTTCCCGTCTATATACGCCAAAAATACTGCTGTGACCAACGGTCCAATCGTATGTAACGAACTACTGTATCCTATACCTGCCTCGTGACCGCTTACGTTAGCGTACGCGTCGGTTAATAAGTTAATAAGTTAATCCAAATCCCCTAAAATAACCAAAAATGAACAGGGGTAGGAAAAGAAAGGCCAATCTATTGTTCTCTCGTCTGCTCGTGTAATAGGATTAAAGTGAAAGGTACGGTGGCAATTTGTTTACTCAGCGATGACAGATGTGTAACCAACGAAACCTAACGAACCAACTTCTGCCCTATATTCGCATATTGGTACGTGCCGCCAAACAGGGTATGGTTTTCAGCGACTCTACTCTGGAGTAGGGTATATAAAATCACGCTCGCTCTAGAACAGGGTATATGAAATCACGCTCTCTCCTCTCTGGAACAGGGTATCTATTTTCACAATACCGGAACAGGGTATGGTTTTCAGCGATCTTGCTCTGGAACGGGGTATGAATTTCAGCGATTTTACTCTGGAACAGGGTCAGGATTCAGTGGGCTCAGCGGCACATCCCTACCCTAAACGGGCAAGAGTACCCCCTCCCCCGGGCAGTATCTCGTCTGGAGTCGTTTTGGTCGTAGAAACATGTGCTAAGCCGGTCCTGCTACTTCAGTGGAAAATTCCTTTAAAGTAAAATTAGTTTGAAAAAAAGACAGGTGGTACTTCTCTGTGAGCAGTCTCTCCTCTTAGTCCTCCCTAGCCCCAATTAACGCCAAAGGAACAGCAGGAGCCCATTACTCGGAACGTATTTTAAACGCACATATCTTCCTTGACAGAGTTATAGTTTTCACATTTGGAACGGCTTTCCAATCCCTCGAGAAAAAGAGAACAATTAGGCTACAGTCGCCATGTTGGTGGAATGAACAAGAGAAAGTAATGAGGAATGCTTTATTATTTGGCACCAATACAAATCCAAAAATAACCTTAGAAATAATCCGAAAAATAATCTGAGAAAATGAGTACTCTCTGGATAATGGCCTCCTGCTAACAGGGAAGCCAGAATGTGGCCATGGAATGGGAAATAAACATGGCATGAAGGAATAGGCACAGAAAAAATTATGCAGCTCGTAATCCTGTCAATTTCATTTAAGGTAAAGATGTACAGATGTTTCACAGTAATGCTTCACAACATGAATGTGGATAAGTTTTACATCAAAAAAAAATTCTCAAGGTAATTGTCCCCTCCAAAGTGTGTCATCTTGAAAGGTAGCATGCCTTTACATTGAAGCGAGACGAATGGTGAGCTTGTAAAGATAGAGACGTTTGAATAATTCTTCAATTGCAAGCTCACCGTTCGTCTTGCTTTGATGCAAAGGCACGGCTACTTTTCAAGATGGAACTGTGAAGGGGACTATTATATAACTATCTCAATTTTCCTTGGGAATTTGGACAAAAACTAATTTAATTTTTTAGTGGGACCACTGGGAATGAAGAGGAATAATTTCCATGATATTCTTTGGCACATGCCCTTGAAAACTTTGTGTTTATGACAATGTCATAGAAATGATTTTGATAGACATCCACAAAAACTCTGTTTCGTTGTGAAAGAAAAGCATACAATTTGTGCGTGTCATTGAGAAGTGCTGTAATGGGAATGAATGTAAAGCACACTTTTATGTCAATTAGGGTTCTGTTATTTTCACCTAAGCTAGAGAATATATGTATGATTAATACATTTTCATTTAATTCGATTTCCTTTGCTTGATTTTTGGAATAATACCATTATTCTATAGCAAAGCTAAGTTTGATTTTCATACAATCCTTGTTAATCTTATTAATCTGTTTATTTTTCCAATAAACGAGAAAAAAAACAGTTCCTTCTGTGAACACATTCGATATTTTGTATCAGGCATTTCGAAGAAAACAAGTCCAAAAATAAATATTCCACTGAAATAAATCTCAATTATCTGCTTGACAAGCTCGAAGTGCCAATAGTTTCAACAAGACGAATAATGGAATATGTATAACAGCGTATCCAAATGATCTCGTTCCTTCGAGTTTCTGGCAAAGGAAAACCTTGAAAGCCACTAGCAAAGCGACAGAACATGAGCTCCACAAAGTTCTGAGAGCTGCAATTTTCTTTTCCCCAACCATTAAAAGCCTTATGAATACAATCGAGGAGAAATACGCCACACATCCGTCGCAAATGAAGAGGGGAATGAAGACTGTCCACCATGACATGGAGTTTTGTTGTTCAGTTTTGATAGCAAGTAATATCGAAAATACGAATAAAGAAACGATGTGAAGCCATATTTCGAATATTGAAAGTCCAAGCCAGGTCTTTAACTCCTTGATAGTTAGAATCATAGCGATATCTAGAGTCGTAGAACAGATGTTTTGATATTTTTACGAGTTTGAATGCGTTTAATGTCTTCCTGTTTGATCCGCCATTTTTGCTTCGTAAACCTAACTTGAACAGGATGCTGGGATATATAACACAGGGAACCACCAAAATGTTTTTTAAATTTAATTTGAACATTTCATTAATAAATTGGAAAGAAAGTATTTTTACCCTTATAAATATAGCTTTACTAAAATATTTTAAGTAGCTCACTTTCAGTCTTAATCTCTTTATTTATTTAGTAGAGTGCAAACAATATAACCGTGAAACTTTAGTAATACTAAATAGCATAATTTCATTGAAATCCCATTGTTTTCTATTGTTTAATGAGCACTATTTTGTACTATTTAGTAATTAGTGTTTCACGGATTAATTGTTTGCACTCCACAGAGACGTCCTCTACAGTATGAACAAAAGCGTCAAAAACTTTGTAAATAATCTTTGATGGGTTCCCTGTGGTATAATTTCAAATCACTTTAGAATTTTTAAAACTATAAAGAAACTAATTTAAACGCTTTTGAAGCTCTTTAAGAGAACAGTTGGCAACCTTTAATTTAGTTATCTTTGTTTTCAATCTCATATCAACGGACATAGCAACGAATATTTTGAGTTTTGCACATTATATCTGTGTGGGTTGCCTTTGGTACGATTGAAATCGAGGCTACGAAGGGCGCCATCTTTCAAATCTCGGAGAAGAACTCCCTATAGTTCTGTTATTATTTCAACTTCAAAGGCAATTTTCATACAATTTTGCGCAGCTCTTTTGAATTTCCAGTTATATATGACTTCTATAGGAAGTATGGATTGTAATAGTTAATTAATATGGCGTCTACGAAAGGAAATTTCGCGGGCAAGAAGGAATGGATCTCTCCTCACAAGCTGTCGCTTCTCGTGCTCATCAAATCCTTGTGTAGAAAGAATGATGAAGATTATGAGTATTCTGACTGTATTTCTAGATGTAGACATAGTTTGTCGCTTCTACTTCTTGAATTACTCCAGGTATGTGCAGGTTTGGTAGTGTATTTTAAGTTTTAATTGCAGAAAATAAGGGGGGAAAATGGCGCAAAATCTCTTACTGCGGTGATTATGAGTGTGTGTTTGTAGGGAGGAGGGTTATACCACGAATGCAAGCAATAATATCTGTAATAGTATAAAGATAAATAAATCTTTTTATTTATACACGGCAGCCTTTAAGACTATAAGCTTGTGGGGCCGTGCATCCTCCATACACACTGCTTACTACATTGAATGTTCTATACACACAACTGTCACCTCTATGTGGATTTTTATGGAGAAAGCAAAACAGAGAACAACCCTTTAAGAAAGGGAAAAAACAACCAACAAACAAACTCAATAGTCCCCTTCACAGTTCCCTGCGCCATCTTGAAAGATAGCCGTGCCTTTGCATCAAAGCACGACTAACAGTGAGCTTGTAGTGATAGACACCTTTTTAACACCTTGGACATCAAAGCGAGATGAAGCTCACCGTTCATCTCACTTCGATGCAAAGGCACCACTACCCTTCAAAATGGTGCAGGGAACTGTGAAGGGGACTATTCACTTGTTGGTCCTCTGGGTTCGAGCCAGGGACCCTACCTGTTGGACTCAGTTGTAAAAGAAGATGCTTTAGCAGTGCATGCCTCCCATACAAATCAACAAAGAACTACAGTAGCTAGCAACTAGTCCTAAGAATTATAATATTTGTTTAATATTTAAGTCACCTGATGTTGCTTTAAATGAACTTTGTCAAAAACTAAAATATATGGACGTGGAAAGAGAGCTGCATTCTGCTTTATTATACTGGTGAGTACAGTCTGAGTACATTAAACTTGTGCAATATAAGTTTTAATTTATTATTATTTATTATTACAAAACAATGATTTAATTTCCTTTTTATTTATTTTACATTATGGTATTGGTAGTCATTTTGAAGTCTCCTTATAGATAGAGGTTAATGGTAAACATTCAGGGAGCAGAGAGCATAGTTTGAAGTGGTGTGGCTAATCTATTATATCTATTATGGTAGCATGGGTGGCGTATGGGTACCATGGGTGTGAGTGAAAAGTGTCCTCAATTAGTGCGAAAGTGCTAGAACAACTAGACACTTAAATAAAAGTGATTTATTTTATTTATTATCTGGGGGGGGGGGTCAATGGAAATGCCCTCATCCCCCTTGAAAATTTTTGAAACTGAGCCTCTTAGAAATGCAATATCCTGTGTCTCAAAAGCCCTACCCCCTCCCCACCCCCCACTCCTACACCTCCCACTCCTACACCTCCAGGGTGCCTGGACTAAAAGTATATATTTTACATTTCTCTGGAGAACTTAGAGCAATAACCTTATGAAAAGCAGAAAAAAAGAATACATTGAACTCTATTCACATTTAGTGTCATTCTAGGAGTGCCAAACGAAATGCTTATCTTTGATAGTTCATTAGATTGTGTAGTAGTATGCTTCTTATTTTGATTAATAACACAGTCTCCTAATCATAATATTAATAATTATTAGGCTTCAGGAGGTGATGGCCAATGGAGTGTCAAGTATCATTGACTTCTTCCAATCTTTGGATGACTTGCTTTCTGGAAAAGAACCTTCACTACAAAAAACCAGTTTATTTGGTAAGTTGTTGGGCTAGGGTGTCAGTAGGGCGATGGTAGGGTGTCAGTAGGGCGATGGTAGGGTGTCAGTCGGGTGATGGGAGGGTGTCAGTAGGTTGATGGTAGGGTATCAGTAGGTTGATGGTAGGGTGTCAGCAGGTTGATGGTAGGGTATCAGTAGGTTGATGGTAGGGTGTCAGTCGGGTGATGGGAGGGTGTCGGTAGGTTGATGGTAGGGTATCAGTAGGTTGAGGGTAGGGTGTCAGTAGAGCGATGGTAGGGCATGAGTTGGTTGATGGTAGGGCATCAGTTGGTTGATGGTAGGGTGTCAGTAGGTTGATGGCAGGGTGTCCGTCAGGTGATGGTAGGGTATCAGTAGGTTGATGGTAGGGTGTCAGTAGGCTGATGGTAGGATGGTGTCAGTACAGTAGGTTGATGGGAGGGTATCAATAGGTTGATGGTAGGGTGTCAGTAGGTTGATGGGAGGGTATCAGTAGGTTGATGGTAGGGTGTCAATCGGGTGATGGGAGGGTGTCATTGGGTTGTTGGTAGGGTGTCAGTACTGTAGGTTGATGGCAGGGTGTCAATCGGGTGATGGGAGGGTGTTATTGGGTTGTTGGTAGGGTGTCAGTACAGTAGGTTGATGGCAGGGTGTCAATCAGGTGATGGGAGGATGTCATTGGGTTGTTGGTAGGGTGTCAGTAGGGTGATGGGAGGGTGTCAATAGGTTGATGGTAGGGTGTCAGTAGGGTGATGGCAGGGTGTCAGTTGGTTGATGGTAGGGTATCAGTAAGGTGATGGTAGGGTGTCAGTAGGGTTATGGTAGTTGATGGTAGGGTGTCAGTAGGGTGATGATAGAGCATCAGTTGGTTGATGGTAGGGTGTCAATAGGTTGATGGTTGGATGTCAGTAGGTTGATGGTAGGGTGTCATCAGTAGGTTGATGATAGAGCATCAGTTGGTTGATGGTAGGGTGTCAATAGGTTGTTGGCAGGGTATCAGCAGGTTGGTGGTASGGTGTCAGTAGGTTGATGGTACTGGTTGCTTTAATCACAGTTGCTCTCCACTGCTCCTCAGCATCAAAATAATGCACATGTTTCCATCTCATCTAATAAACAGGCCTATTTGTGAGAAAGATGAGCCTCTTGTTCCACAGAATGACCTTCAGCCAGTTGACTTATTTCCAGAAGTTGATGCAAGATTACCTAGATGGCATGAAGTGTCAAGATGAGGATCAGGATGAAAGCATGGATAGCATCAGGAGTTTAGAAACAGAACAAACAATTAATGAGAAAGGGTAGGTTATCACACACTCACAGTATTCAACTTACATAATTATTTCTACCAACTATAAGAGAAATGCATTACCTTGGAGATATTTTAGGTAGATTAAGATTTTTTTGTATACCTCACCTGTAGAGAGTTTATGGTCAAGATGAGTGCATCAAGCAGACAAGTGGAGTTTTTCCTTGAAAAGCAGGTATTCTTTATTTTAGGAAACAATATACAGTAAAATTAAAATTGCCTTGTAATCCTTGTACTACTCTTTATAACAAATACTTTGTAGTTGTTTGTGGAACAAGATTTTAATTCCATTGGGAAAACTGCTGCAACAGTGATTGGTTCGCTCTTGTCTGAGTCAGAGCTATAAATTAAAATGTTAGCCAATAAAACCTTTTATATTTTAATTATTTACTTATATATTTATATACTGAGTAGAACTGCTAATACTTTAAACCATGCCTGCACGGCTTTAACCATTACAGTAACTCTGTATTTATATTATGAATATGAACATAGGCATCTGCTATTCAGTCAAATGAAGGAGCTGCCCTTCCACCTGCAGAGCTACAGAAAAAATTATCTCAGATGCTTGAAAATTCTTCTGATATCACTGAAGCTGTAAGTTGAAAACATAAGAAATATGTTACATGTATATTTTGATTATTAAGTTTAAGAAATCCTTCTTTAATTTTGTTTCCTTTTTTTCTTTTCCCTTTTACTTTATTTAATTTGGTTTACTTTTATTTGCTTTAATAATGAGTTTTTACTTTACTTTCCTTCTCTCCCAACAATTTATTTGCTTGAATACATGTTTATTCATTTTTCAATGATTTTCATTTCCTTGTAAGAGTTACAATCATTTTAGTTCTTTGCAAAGTGTTTCTCTTTGTCATCGCACAGCACTTTGTGAGCTATCTCAACTGCCTTAGATCTGGTGAGTTCAAACAAGCAGTAGATAGTCTGTACCACTACTTTGACCAGCAACAATGGAATGCTACACCACAAGCCAAGGCACCATCTGAAGTTAATGAACTTGAAGATGAAAGGTGTAGAAGATTCAGATATGCTGCTCTGAACCTTGCAGCACTGCACTGCCGATTTGGGCACAGGTATGTACAGTATGTCTAGTTGTTATGATCAGATTGTATACACACAATTGAAGAATCGTTGTCGGGTTCAGAAACATAGAACATAGAAGCTGAGACCGAAATGGCACATGGGAAGTACGTTAATATAATTATAATATAATTATGTCATTTCCCATGTGCCATTTTGGTCTCAGCTCTTATGTTCTATGTTTCTGAACCTGACAACGATTCTTCAATTGAGTGTATTTTATGTTGATTGACACTTGGCTGATTGTTGGCCAATTAGATTGGTTGACTATTCCCTAATCATTGGCCATCTCTTTTACTCTGTTCTGAGAAGTTAGCCATCGTTAAGTCCATTTATAAACAATCACTTTCATTTTGTTTCGCAGGTCCGAAGCACTAGCCGCTCTGAAAGAAGCCATTCAGATAGCACAGGAAACTAATGACCATGTTTGCCTTGAACACTGTCTCGTAAGTCTTGATCTTTACCACATGTAAATTCCATACTTGTTACTGATAAGTAAACTTACTGATTTAGCAACAAGTAATTATTCATACTGCATAATGTCTATGTTGGGAAAGTTTTATATTGCTGTTTTCATTGGTATCTACTGATCAAGACAACAATACTTGTGACATGTTCAAATTAACAATTACACCTGCCACCAAAATGGTCTACAAGTTGATTAGTCCAGACGCTTTACACTCTTCTTTGCCAATCCCCCTTTTTTAAAAACAAAAGTGGAGCAGCAAAGGAGAGGGTACAGCGTCTGGGCTACAGTCAATATGCCCATAAGGCCGAAGGCTGAATGGGCTATTGACTCGTACAGTAGGTCATAAGGGTGAGAGGTCTAATTGATAATTATTATGAGGTCTAGTTGAACTTTCTAACCAACTTAGCAGTAAAATATATGGATACAAAATGTCATGAAATTAGATTGAAATCATGTATAAATTTAATTTTTCGTGTTGTTTTTTGATTTTCAAAACCGGCGCTTTACTCTACTAGTGATCTCTGTCCATCACTTAGAGACTACTAGTACTAAAGCTTAGCTAGTCAGCATGCAGATCAGGATTTATGATAAACTACTGGCATCATGGGTACCCATGGTAGCATGGGTGGCGTTCGCGGCTAATGCGTCATCTTTCACCGCTGTGAGTCCAACGGTCACCACATGTGAATTGAGTTTGTTTGATGTGTTCTCTCCTATGCTACGAGGGTTTTCTCCGGGTTCTCCAGTTTCCTCCCTCCGTAAAAATCAACATGTGAGTTGAGTGTTGTGTGCATAGAACATTGAATGTAATGGTAGTGCGTGTGAGCGAAAAGTGTCCCCAATTAGTGCGAAAGCGCTAGAATGACTAGACACTTATTAAATAAAGTGATTTATTTATTTTTTTATTTATTTATGTCTAGGTTTATACTAATCGGCAATAGACTACTGTTGATCAAACATTCATGTGTCAATTAAATGTAAGATTATGCCAGATAAAACAGCATAGAATATTTAAAAAACATGAYGTTTACGTTATTTGGTCTGAAATGAGGAAACTTTATGCCCAGACTGAAGGTGAAATATCAATAACCACATTATTAGGTTTGGCTGTACAGACTGGAGCAGGAGGGCAGCCAACAGGCGACAATACTTCTGGACAGGTTTGTCTCCAGAGCAGCAGAACTCAAACTACCTGTGAGTATATATCTTGACTTCATCCTGTAGTAACTTGATTCAGTGGACCTGTGGACACCTTGAATATTTCTCTAAAATGCAAACCAGTATGTTGTCAACCCTTGTTTTACAGTCGGGACAATCAAACAGTTAAACTGGAGTCTCGTATTTAAGATTTCTTTTGATCACAGTATGTTTGTACTCAATGCCTCATTTTTGAGGGTTTGAAATATAGTAAAAAGTTCAGGAAATAATAAGGAATCTGAAATGTTTTTGAAGTGTTCATTGTCTAAGTGTCCAGTGACACTGTAAAAATAGTTAATTAATAAAAAGCTGAATGTGTATTTCCAGAAATTATTCATACTCCCC